TTTGCTTCGCAGATGACCTGATTTTGTTTGCTGAAGCCTCTGTTGGTCAGATTAAAGTGATAAGAAATGTGCTTGAAAGATTCTGTAGTACCTCGGGTCAAAAGGTGAGTTTGGAGAAATCGAAGATCTTTTTTTCGGAGAACGTCAGTCGTGATCTCAGAAACCTCATAAGTACAGGAAGTGGGATCCAAGCTACCAGAAATCTTGGTAAATACTTGGGAATGCCAGTGCTACACAAAAGAATTAACAAGAACACATTTGGTGAAGTGCTTGAGAGAGCAAATACGCGTTTAGCGGGCTGGAAAGGGCGTACTTTGAGTTTGGCAGGACGGATTACTCTCACCAAATCAGTCCTCTCTTCTCTCCCAGTCCATGCCATGAGTACTATTGTACTCCCAGAATCGGTGTTAAGCAGTCTTGATAAAATCTCAAGGAACTTCATATGGAACAGCACTACGGAGCAAAAGCGGCAGCACCTAGTGGCTTGGGAACGCATCTGCAAGCCAAAAGGTGAGGGAGGATTAGGAATTTGGTCCTCCAAACTCATGAACAAAGCACTTATATCAAAGATAGGTTGGCGAATCCTCTTTAATGTATCAAGTCTATGGGCTCGGGTGTTGAGGAGTAAATACAAAGTTGGGGAAGCCTCTTGGTTTGTGGCTAAAGGAAATTGGTCTTCTACTTGGCGAAGCGTTAGTGTTGGTCTGCGAGAAGTTGTAATACCAGGATTAGGCTGGGTCCTCGGAAAGGGTTCCACAATCAAATTTTGGAAAGACAAGTGGCTGGGGAATTTCTCTTTAGAAGACAGCGCAAAAATTGATCTGCCCGAGGAGATCAAACAACTTCGGGTTTGGGAATTATGGACAGAGGGCGTGGGATGGGACTTCTCACACATTGAACCGTTCTTTCCAGAGTTTATTACTTTGGGTCTGCGAGCTGTTATGGTAGACACATAATAGAATGACAGACTAGCTTGGAGTGCTAGCCCGGATGGAAAGTTTTCTGTTAAGTCTGCGTATAATGTATTACTTAATGACAATGCACCAAAGCCAAGTATGGAACTTCTGTATGGGAAAGTTTGGAAAGCTGTGGTGCCGGAGAGGGTAAGGGTTTTCATTTGGCAGGTTGTGAACCAAGTGATTATGACAAACACTGAACGACAAAGAAGACACCTCAGTGACTCGGGTTTGTGTCAGGTTTGTAAGGGAGGGGAGGAAACCATTCTCCATGTGCTCCGTGATTGTCCGGCGATCTCTGGAGTTTGGAATCGTATTGTGTTACCTCGCAAACGGGCTGGTTTTTTTAACCAATCGCTTTTGGAGTGGATTTACGCGAATCTGATTGATGGAGGAGAATGTGAGGGCATACCGTGGGCTACTTTGTTTGGAATGGTGATGTGGTGGAGATGGAAGTGGCGATGCGGGAATATATTTGGGGACAATGGGAAATGTAGAGATCGTGTGCGCTTTGTCAAAGATATCTCGCGTGAGGTACACAAGGCACATGAGTCTTCTAAAGACGCTGGTCCAGATGTTCTAAGGGAGGTGAGACAGATTTCTTGGAGACCGCTGGAGCAAGAGTGGGTACGGTTAAATACGGATGGCGCATCGCGAGGTAATTCGGGTTTAGCCACAGCTGGTGGTGTTTTGAGAGATGCGGAGGGACATTGGCTAGGTGGATTCGCTTTTAACATTGGCTGGTGTTCGGCGACGGTGGCAGAGCTGTGGGGTGTCTACTACGGATTGTGTCTAGCTTGGGATAGGAAAATCACTGGACTAGAATTGGTAGTGGATTCGGAGTTGGTGGTCGGATTTCTAACGACAGGGATTTCTGAGACGCATCCCTTGTCACCCCTAGTACGTAAGTGCTATGGCTTCATTTCAAAGGACTGGTTTGTCCGAATTTCTCATGGGTATAGAGAGGCTAACCGTCTTGCGGACGGGTTAGCTAACTATGCTTTCTCCTTACCTCTCGGGGTAGTTTTATTTGATTGTTGTCCTCTTGTAGTTGAACAATTGATGCATGAGGATTCTCAAGAGTCTGCGTACCCGAGAAGAATTCGTTTGTAATTTCTTTTATTTTTTCGCAATAAATCTGAGGAGACATTGTCTCCTCTCCCCCACCAAAAAAAAAAAAGAAGAGCAATCATCTGTTTTCCTGGCCATTTAGGGAAGCTACTTGGATTCTCTGCCAATCCGGATTGGAACGATACGATGGTGTACCTCACTAATGTGTATCCTACGGCTCTAGGCATAACTCTGTTCAAAATGGTGTTTCAAACTTAATAGGTTTTTCCATATCCACTGGAGGGAATCAGGGAATGTTACTCCCATCGACACAACACAAGGTGGCTGACTCACTCTCATTTCACTGTTCTCATCGCCAAAGCGATTAGCAACAGGATCATTTCGCTTGGATATACGTTTCCTCATAAGCTCAAGAAACATCTCACTGTGTTTACGATTTAGGGATCATTTTTACTTTCATTTTTTTACAGTCCTTATTCCTTTGTAAATAAGCTCTACCTTACAGATTAATAAATTTAAAATTTTATCCACACAAAAAAAAAAATTTTGAAAACAAATTAAGTAGCGTGAATTTAGTTATTTTAAAGAATTGTCGTTCATAGGTTTAATCCATTTACTTCATAAAATATGGAGAAACGAAAGAAAAATATATACTCGACAAGAATCCCTTCAAGGTATCAAGATTGCTCAATTCCAACTTCTCTTAGATATGAACCTTTACTTTGCGAAACAATATAAAAAAACACATTGAAATTTTCCTCGAGACTCCATGTGACAACTTATTTGAACAAAGTAAGTTTACCCGAATGTGTTATTGTCGTCCTTAGATTTTTTTATGGTTTTTGATTGAAATTTATCATGAAAAGCTATTATCTAGATTTAATTAAAAATAGAGTAAATTTAATGATCGGCAACGGGGGAGATTTTATTTGAGAAAAATGGCAATTTCATAAGTTGCTTTGAGTGTTCAAAAGTAGATGACAAAATTATGTATTAGTTGACTGATATACCATATATAGTCGTTGTTAGAACTAATAAAAGTTTTTGTATATAACTTTTCTTCTCCGCTCCGTGGAAGTGGAACGAAGTGGACACATGTGTAAATGCATGTACATTAGTGGGTGGCATGTGTGTGCATATTTGTATAATATATTACAAAATAACCGTATGTATATACGTAAAAGGGATCTACGGGGAGAGAGTAGATGACAAGCAAATAAAGGTTAGACATGTGAGAAGAGGCCATGTTTTGCGGCAATATCACGAGGGCCACTATCTAATGTGACTTTATAATCCGATGTCTATGTGCCGATCTCTTGGCTTCTCCTACTTGAACTCTAGCTTCTAACCGCACCTTGTCCGAGTATCTTTACCACTAATTAGTATACATTTTTATTTCACTACATCATCACCAAAGAGTTTTTAGGCTTTAATCATTATCTCCCATTGTATTATTGTGCCGAAAACTTAATAGTTTTTTCCCTGCCGTCGAGAATCAAATTCAAGTGTTGACACACATATTCTAAAAACAACCCACGTTGAATCTATTGCGCTACATTATATTTTTATTTCTTTCCATTTCATATTTCCATCATGAATATTATCTGATCAGTTATACAAATATTAGTATGCAATTACTAATAGACTAGTTTGACTAACTAGTCTAATTTCTAATTCGATAACCAGTTACAACTTACAAGTACAACTAATTGTTCCCAAAATAATTGAATAATTTTTCATCTCAGATCGAGGTAGTGAAAATGTGGAATATATTATAATTGTTTTTTAATTCCTATAAAATTTCAATTAAACGGGGGGAGTGGGAAAATAATATACACTTATCGAGCTAGTTCGTCGAATACGTACGTCTGTCCTTTTAGCTTTAATAAAGCAACTTTAAATTCGTTTTTTCCTTAATTAAATTTAGATTCGTTTGCAAATGGCAAATACTGCATAAGATATGGATGTGATGAAAATGCTGACTTGGCTTCACAATAAAACTAAAGGACTGTTCCTTATGTCACAATAAAACGGTGTTCGAGTTATTCGTATACTTGTCTGTATGGAAAATCTAGTGAAATTTATTAATGTTTTGTTTACGTTCATTTTTCTTTTCGCATATAAATGATTTAATTAATATAAATGTATAGATCCGAGAACAAATATAAATTCGAGAGTTTGGAATAGAATAAGGTGAGAACAAAATGGAAATAAAAAAACGAAGAAAGATATTGACTCTCTAGTCCTATTTAAAATAAGAATGAGAAGAAGTAGGATGCTAACGGGACCATTTTTAATATGTTCCATTTTGGGAAATGTTTAAAAATAAATATCTATATGTTTTTGTTTAATTTTACTTGGACATTTAATTTTTCTGGCTAGTTTAATAATACTAAATTTCTATACAATATAATATTTAAAATATATAATTTTATTCCGTGGAACAATGAAATTTGTTTGGTCTCATTCTAAAATGAATAGGATTCTTTTTTTTTTTATTCCTTTCTTAAACCTAATTTTGTGGAATTTTTAAAACTTTTCGTAAGTAGTGGTGTGTTATGAGCAATGGTATTTTATTACGTGTTTTGGAGTATTGCTTATAGCATTAGTCCTAAAAATGTGGAAAAAAAGAGAGTTAAAGACAAAGAGAACGATGGCCAACTCCACTACTACGTACATTGCTAACGCTAATGATACGATTCTATATAATCAAGAATCATAGATGTTTGTAGTTGATGTCACCTACTCCAATAAAAATAAATTTTTTTTTTTTCTATAACGAGAGTATTATTGCCACTACACCAAAATCTAAATCTGGATCTGTGTCAAGGTTTTGTATGGTTGGATGCAAGTAGAACTATTATGCGCCTCATGAATATTAAATAGAGTTGGTATAAATAACCAAATTCTATATAAAAATTTATGGATCAGTTATATGTAACAGTTTGTTCCCACTGCTTCACTTTGTCTTCTCGGATCCCTTCCCACCAAAAACACAAGCAAAACAACAAAGACTCTCTCTCTCTCTCTCTCTCTTTCTTTATCGTATATTCTATATATTATCGACAGTGTAATCTAATTTTCACTGTCTTTGATACTCCTCTTCTCTTTCATGGCTCCTCTCCCTTTCTTGCCGGACCAAACCAAGTCGCAAACGCGTTTATCTTCAGACTCACAGAAGAAGAACAGAAAGAAGAAAACGCCTACGCCTACGCCGCCGCCTCAGACGCAAACCCAAACGCAAACGAAAAATCTGAAGCAGAAGACTGTTTCATCATCATCGTCATGGAGCCAGATAAAGAACCTCTTGAGTTGCAAACAAATCGAAGGGCCACGAGTGCACGACCCATCAAAGATAATGTCATCTTCTTGTGGCTCTTCTTTGTGTAAGTTCAGTGATGTTATTTACGGTAATGCCCGTGTGATTCACCGGTCTGATCACTCGCCGGAGAGTAGCAACCTGGGTCAAGATGCCGGGTTGTTGACCCGAAAACCCGTAACTCGTGGATCTTCATCTTCAGTTAGATCCAACGGTTGTGGTGCTTACACGTCGTATTCATCTTCCAAGGCGATGCACTTTAGAAAACTCTCCGGTTGCTATGAGTGCCACATGATTGTTGACCCCAGCAGGTTCAATAGATTTATCCTACTTCTATTAGCAATAGTTTATTATGTGAATTTGTTAATACTTGAATATTATAGTTACAAAGAAAGAAAGAGAGAGTTTAGCTAATTAGTGATGTGTTTATATGATTAATGATGTTAGGTATCCAATATCACCAAGAATATGTGCATGTCCACAATGTGGGGAGGTTTTTCCTAAGCTTGAAACATTGGAGATTCATCAAGCAGTTCGTCATGCCGGTATGTTTTCATTTTAATCGATGTATCTCTTTTTGTATACAATTCGGAGCTCAAACTTTCGGAATCCTAAAAAAAATACAGGCATTAAAACAGATGTTTTTTTCTTGAACTTTTATTCGTCATAAAAAGAGATGTTACGGGATAGAATAATAGGCTACTTTAAAAAACACATATGCTGTTTACCTAAAACAAATCGAAATACTAATATATCACTTACCGCAATTACTCAAATCATGCATATTGCCATTGTGAATCAGACAAGCGTTAAAAATGAGCTCAATCCTTTTATCAAATATAAACTTATTTGTTTCATCGTTTGGATTTTTCTTTTTACTAGTTTCGAAACATTGAAATATTACTTTGGTCGTTTGTCTTTTATATTTCTTTTCTCGTAGTTGGGGCCATAAATCTGGCATGTCATGTCGTTGTTTTTGGATATGTATGCACAGCACAGCAGCATATTAATATTATAAATGCATGGTACTATGATTACAATATTTTATGTAGTAATCACATATTAGGCGAACAGGCAACATCATTATCATCATTAATCTACCATTATACGGTTCTAATTTCTTTTTATCTCTTTACTGTCTTTTTATATACTATTTAAAAAAAACATTTGACATAATGTTTTCATCTAATATCTTTTGAAATTTGCAAATATACAAAATAAATTTAGTTTATACCAATCAAATTGTATTAGAGGCTTATAAATAAACAAAATCAAAGGAAAACTATATTTCTAAACCAAAATAAATTTCAGTTTTATTTACATGTATCTTCTCTTGACCGGATATAATCAAATTGAATTGAAATGAATAACTGAACAATATTGAAAGAACCCAAAACACATACAGAATTACTTAAACCAAAGAAATACAGAAAATATGAATCTTGCATATGAAAGCGTTTTGTAATGATTTTGCATATAAGGAGTTTGTGCTTCATGACCCTAAGCATAAGCAGAGCAAAATAATGCTTGCAACTCTATTTATATTAAGAAAATTTCGACTCTCAATTGGAAGAATCTATCTTTAGTTTAGTAGTTAGTGTTATTATATTTCTTCTCTAGCTAGAGTTCAACCCTCCAAATAGAAAAAAAAAATTGTTTTTTTCCTTTTAATGTTTTTCCACTTAACTAAGACAGTTTTTTTTTTTTGGGCTAGCGACCTTACATATTTCAGGGCTGGCTCTGGTGGTATATTAACGTAAAAGATCTTTGTAATGTTGTTAAATTAATTTTGATATTTAATTGTCAGAGTTTTCTTTTTTTTTTTCGTTCGATAACAGTGTCGGAATTGGGGCCAGAGGATTCAGGACGAAACATAGTGGACATCATCTTCCAATCTAGCTGGTTACGAAAAGACAGTCCTAGCTACAAGATCGAACGGATATTAAAAGTCCACAACACTCAGCGCACGATCCAACGTTTTGAAGACTGTCGCGACGCAGTCAAGTCCCATGCACATGCTTCCACAAGAAAAGAGCCACGATCAGCCGCAGACGGCAACGAGCTCCTCCGTTTCCACTGTACCACCGTTTCATGCTCTCTCGGCTCTCGCGGTTCGACCTCTCTCTGCTCCAACGTCCCTGGATGTCGCGTTTGCACCATTATCCGACACGGCTTCCACGCCAAAACGCTGCGTTTAGGAGGTGGGTCCAATGAGATCAAGGGCGTGAGGACCACGGCGAGCAGTGGAAGAGCACATGATGCATTGAGATGCTTTGACCAGCGGAGGGCGATGCTTGTTTGCCGTGTCATCGCAGGAAGAGTGAGGCGCGTGCAAAGTGACGCGCCGGAAGATGAAAATGGTTCTGGCTCGTATGATTCTGTTGCGGGTGCCCCTGGTGTCTACACAAACCTTGACGACTTGGTTGTGTTTAATCCTAAATCCATACTTCCATGCTTTGTAGTTATCTACAAAGTCTCCGAGCCTTAACAAAAAGAGATTGTAACTTTTCAAGATTTGGATTTGTAAGTTTTTAGTGGAATGTGTGAAGCAATGGATTGTAATATTTAGAAGGATATTAATTAGCATTATTAATTATGTACAATTTTGGCGGTGTGGCCTAGTCAAAAGAGTGGAAGACTAGTGTGTCTCCATGTCTTGACGTTTCATTATATGATTTCAATTTGACGTACATGTTCCTTAAGAATATAAAAATTACTTTTTTTTTTTGTAACGGGGAAAAATTACGTACTAACGACTACTAAATATTCATGTCACTGAAAAAGTTTACAATGATAAAAAAAAATCCAAAATGATGATTGTAATGATGTGGCTTGATTCCACATGACAAGTCATGTAGCATGCACTTGAACAACTAAACGTGACCACGCAACTTTGGCTGATATATAACATTTTTTCACTCTTTTTTTGGTTCGACTTAGAATAACCATTCTTGATTGATTAAACACATATGTTCAAGTAGATAAAATAATAAAGGGTGGCTTTATGTTTGCCATAGAAAGAGCAAAGTTGCAGAAAGAATGGAATGTGTTTTATAAAAGCTAGAAGGAGATCGAGGAGTGACGTTTGCTGGTTGGTGTTATATCGTAGTGGCTAATTTAATTTATTTTTGGAAGAATCACGTTCCACTGGCACCTTGAACTCCGACCTTAATATACGTTTTACTGGGTGGAATCCAATCAAATCAAACTATTGTATAACCTTTTAATTAACAATAAAGGTGCTCTAAGATTCAAAGATTTTGACGTTTTTTTTTTACTTTACTTTATAAGTCAAGCAGGCCAGGAGGAATCTCGTACTCTGTCTGACCACAATGACTCAGCATATGTGATCGTCGTTAGACGTAATTTCCTTAATTAGTCTCAAACGAGATCCCTATTACACCAAAACATTTCTAGTTTAAAAGTAAAAAGACACTGAAACTTGGTAAATCCATACTTCCTTGCTTTGTAGTGGTAAAACATTTCCTTAATTAGTACTGCACACAAACGAAAATTTTAACTACTTTCAGTAAAACATAATCAATGATCGACGATGGAATATTATCAGTTAGAGATTTCTGAAGGTATTGTATCACTTCGAATTGTAAAACCAAAAATGTCTAAAAGTTGTGTTGCAGATGAATGAAACACTTCAATATATAAATATTAAAACTCTTTTTGTAAGAATTTGCTAAATAATTTTACAAATTTGTTTAATTAGGATTATACAATATTGTTTCTACAATTTGACACTGATGAATTTCTAATCTACTAAACACAGTAACAGATACGTTTTCTCTCATCACCGAAAACCTAGAAAACTATCTCTCAAAATTTCATTCACCCATTTCCTGTTAACACTAACACGATGTCTCAACTTCCTATATATACTATTTTGTAGCTGCGTCTCCCATGAAGTCTCTTATTTGCCGTATCTTCTTAGGACACCAGATATAGAAATTAGATATCTTGTTTGATCTTCACAGAAGTCGTTGTCACAACAATCCAAATCTTCACGCCATGTGTGCGTGACATAATTTCCAACTGTTTTACGAATCTCCAGCTTACAATCTCCTCCTTTGTGTCTGAATGTGACACCTCAAGCTTCCTGCCATGTCAGTCTATAAACTCACAGAAGAACTAGAAAGCACTTTACATTTCGAAACGAAAATATCATAAATAGGCACGCCACACACATAGTTCAAACTTATGAAAGAAAACATTGTTTCAAGGTGGCTTAAAAGCACAGAGCAACCTAAATATGAGTAGGAAACAAGCAGATCAGAGTGATCAATCATCCACTACATAGTCTCGTCTTCCACCAAGTCCATCATTCGGTTCTTCTTCATCTGCGACACTGTCCTCCGCCTGGGTTTCTTCTCCATCCATCTCCACTGGAGTATTTCTGGATGCTCCCAATTTAGGATTGAGACTATAGTCTCCCTCTATTTGAGTGCACATCCAAGACACAATACAGAAGTTAAGACAGCAACGAGTGATGAGACAGAGGGATGGAATATACTTATCTTTTGCATGTTGTTGAATCTTACGAATGAGGTTTGACAACTCCGATAGACCAGCAGTCCAGACCGGTTCAGCTCTACCAGATCCTCGTTCAGCTTTGGGATCCAATGTGATCTTTAGGGGATATCCAATCAATGGACCATCACCCCAATGTCCTGGAACAACCCTCTGAAAATTAAGCTACTTTGGGACTGTGTGGCTAACATCATGAACCGTGTACATCAGTCCGACCAAGTGAGGACTTGCTTAACAATTTCTAGCGCCAGATCCGTGAGAGGCAGATATAATGCATTATGAAACGTTCGAAGATCAACCGATTTACACTTCAGAACAGCAGTTTCGGAGGAGAAATTTCTGTGTGCAATCTGTAGAGGTCTCTCCATGAATTTGTTTTTCTGGAGCCATTGGCGAAAGGCAGCTCGATTTGCAGCATAACGAGTCTCTAAGAACTCATAATTTCTTGGATCACGATTGTCTGTTTGATCTTCCTCCATCTCAGGAGATGATTCGGTGGAGGTTGCATGTGAAGCATTGCCAGAGATCTGGCCAGATCCATAGTGAGTCTCAGATGTTATAGGTTTCCAAGGAAGCTCGAGCCGGCCGTTTTCAAGATCATAAACCACCATTGGAGCTTTACCAGAGCATTGACTGGCAGTTGGATCTCGCAGTCTGAGAAGAGCAACTGCAAGCATCTCGAAATTATCAGATACTGAGTAGTGGATGCGCACGGATTCCACTATAGCTTTGTAAGCTTGTGGTCTTGTGGTTCGAGTAGGAATCATGGTGACCCTTGGGAGATAGAGAGCTTTAGGGTTTTGCGCTAGCAAATATGAGGGATAAGTTGTGGCACACGAACAGTCATTGTTCGTATATAAGGAGTGGTAAAGAACACCTTGCTTAAACACAAACACACTATTAAACGGACTAAAACTTGGGCTGAACAAGCCCACTAGTAACTGAGTTTAATAATTAGCCAATATACATATGTGTTTGACACATATGTCGACTCATTCCATACTCAAACAAAGACATAAGTGAGGATCCCATGTCATTATGCAAATAATATACCATCATTCAAACTAATAGAGACATTACACACGCTAAAAGACATGAGCACTTGTGCAGAACCGCAAGGAGGAAAAATTGAAATGATAGTTCAATCCAAGTCACACACACACAAAAATGTTTTTGAGAGAAATAAACTTACAAACTCAAATGCGCAGCTAATTCTCAGCAGAGATGCTTTCACGCATTTGATCAATCACAGTACTTCATAGTGACTACCCTCGAGGAACCAATCAAGTGAATATGAATAGAGTGTTAGGAGACTAACTCGTTCATTTTTTAAAAATTTTATTTAAATCAATAGATACAGTGAGCCATCTAGAGATCACCCTCTAATAAGTTCTTATATGCAGCACCATTCAGCCGAGCTGCTTTCACACATCTCTATTTTTGAATAATGACTTGATTTAGCTTACGAGGGATATCCATCATTTAGTTTTCAAGCTGTCACAATATGCCACCACCAAGAGGCAAGCCGTAGGACCTCGAGTATTTGCAGTTGCGGATCAGAATGGTGCACCTATTAATGGTAAGTCTTCATCATAATCTTTTAAACGTCTTTTTGAGTATTTTGTAGTATTGTGTTTCTTCTGAAGCCAGGGCAGCGCTCGGTCTAAAAGAGCATATAGCATTGGTTTTTATTGGAAGGTGCTGCAGTTTACATTTTGTTCGATATAAGAATTACATATTAATTTATGTGTCTTAATTGATAAAGTGTGGGTAGTTTATATAAGTTGCTAGAAGGTTGTTATAGTTAAGGTCAAAAGCAAAATTCATTAAGTTCAAGAAAACATGCTAAGGGGAAGGATCTTCCAAAGTATGATCTGAATCGAAGTGGGGGAGTAATTATATGAATTCGAGGACAAATTCCTTCGGAAGTGGGAGAGAATTGTGAAACCCATTAAAAAAAAACCTGATCCTGATCCTAATCCTAACCTAAATCTAATTTGAGGCTATAGATGTATATAATTCGAGTTGGGTAAGTTATTATTCATAACCGCCATCTGATTTAAGCAATCAAAGGCAAAAAAGCAGAAAAAGAGAGAGAAAAATCAAGAGATCAAGGAAAGATTGTTGTTGTTTTGGGTTGTTGAGATTATGGTGTTGGATTGAATCAATAACAATCTGAGGAGGGAGAGATTTCAGGGCTAGGAATCAGTTTATAAGAAACCAGAAGTTGATCTCCGTCGCCGGATAACCAGAACCACCGGAGGAGAGAGAAAGAGGAGAGAAAAGAAGAAGAAGAGGAGAAAGAGTCTTGTTCGGAAGGGGGTTTTGCGGGGCGATTTCCCGGCGAACCAGAGGAACACAAACGACTATCTACATACCGTTGGAAAGATCTCGCTGTCAGATATTCATAACTTCTTTCTATCACCGATTCTGAGGTATATTCGATCCGCAAATCTGATCGCAAATTAATGCGAAACCTCTGTTTTTGTTTCAGAAAAATCTCAGTTTTAGTTCTCGTTTTAAGTAGTGGTTTTGGGTTGCGATTTCAGATCAGACCTTAGCTAGGGAGACAGGATCCTTTGTTGTTTCTGTTTGAGGATGTTGCAGGAAGGCCATAGGAACTGACACCACCACCGGAAAAGGTAAACCCTAGCCGCCACGCCGTTAGCTTGTTGCCCAAGAAATCTTGTGTCTGTCAAAAATCTGGACAGATCAGAAACTCTAAATCTGTTTCTAATGGACGTTTCTTGTTATGTAAGTTTCAGTTTTAGATTGTCTTTCCAGAATTCAGATATCAGCTTAAGTCATGTGATGGCTGGAATTTGTGGAAACATAGTTCACATTCTTTCCATTATTTTACATGAGTCATTATGCATAAGCTTAGAATTGATTGCTAGAATAGGTTGTGTGATGATGTGCTTAGGAGAATGATATGATATGATTTGATAGGATTATATGAGTTATGTTATGTGGGCTTTCAAGCCGATATGTTGGCTTTCAAGCTGGTATGAGTGGCAAACGAGCCGGTATGAGGGGCTTTCGAGCCGGTATGGGGTTTTAAGGCTATCATAAGAATAGTGCCGTCTGTGGGACGTATAAACCTAATGTTTATGTGGATGTCTTGCTTTATGGGCAAGAAGATTGATATGTGTTATAGCTTGATTAAGTTAATCCGGCTATATG